TCGCATTTTCTCAAAAAAATTTCATTGAATTTCGATTGAAATAGTTGAATTTTTTAATTTTATTGAAAAAAAATCAAGCAGATCCTGCGTTTTCTGATTGATACTTGGTGATAGGAAAAAGTCAATGTGTGTTCATGTTCTCGATTTGGTTAAAGTTTCTCATATGGTTTTGTCATCATCAAGAAGACTTGAATGTTTTTTTCAAATTGTTTAAAATTGTATCAAGCTCACTCCGTCAAATTACGGTTTTTTGTTTTTGGCGAAATTTTTCATGTCAGCAGGGATAATTTTTTCAACTTTCTTAGTTTTTAATATGTATTGCCAACAGAAATTTCGCGTTCTTTCGATTGAGTATGGTTATAATCAACTGATTATATCAGAAATGGCTTAAAATTGTGAAAAAAGTTGAAAAACGGGCATTGTACCTCGTTCCTTCTCCTCAATTCCAGATTTCTTCTTTTTTGTATTCAAAGTGACAGTTTTCAATCACTGTTCAATCCAAAAAATGATTTTTTTCTGAGTTCTGTTTTTGAAAACTGGTCCAATTTTTCAACAATTTTTTTCATTACAAAATTTTGCATTTCCTGTAAATACAGATTGGAATCCCAACGTAGCGAATGAAAAAATTCAAACATTGAAAAAAAATTTAACAACCAAACCTTGGACAACATTATTTTTGGATAGAACGGTGTGAGAATCCATTCTGATTCTTCAACATATTCTGTAAAAACTTTTTCTGTAATGCTTCTCACGATTTCTCATCTGGGAATTGGTATTGTCTACTTCCCAATCTCGAAAACTTGAAAATCACTACAAAAAAATCTTGTCCCAGGGATGGGGTTTTTTTTACTCCTGTGGTTGGCCAGTCCTCGCCTTCGGCTCGGACGCCAACGCCACACGAGTAAAGAACGCCATCACAGCAGCCAGGAAAAATACTATATTGTTACTTTGAGCAAGAAAATCGACTTTTCCATTAATCAAAATTTTCTCTGTTGTTGTACCCAGCGTGGGGGGTACTTATAATTATAATAGGTTCTAGGCTTAAAGGGATAAATCCCACCAATGGTTTATCGGTATTTAAATATGAGAATTTATTACATGATTATAATTACTGTCACCTGACTGATTACAAAGAGTTTACGACTTTTGCACGCGTCGGAGTCCAATTCAGGTCTGTTCTGTGCAGACCCAACCGTCTCTTAAATAATACATTGATTGTTTACATTTCATCACTTGGTCAGCATAATCCAGTTACGCTGGCAAGTGTCACGCTGACAATGCTGTATGTCCACATATTAAACAATAACGCAATTGACCAAATCTGGGGCATAACATTTCTCCCCTTTTAAAATACAAAATTTGTTATCAACGATAACAAAATTTTAACCATTGAAATTGAATTTCTCTCTCTAAATCAATTCACTAATAAGAACAAACTTTCAACAAATCTGGAATGCTCCTACTGGCAGTTTGAAGCTCTCATTACTTCCTGCAAAATTACGTGGTTTCGCAGTGCCTGATTCTTTTTTTCCCACAAGAATCGCCTGATCGTCTGACAGTCCCAGTTTGTTTCTCAGCTTATGACAATCCACTGCCTCGTGACCCGAATATTTGCAGTATTTGCAAACAGCTCAAAACTGCATTACCGATGTTCTCTTCCCGTCTCCTCGAGGAAGCCTTGTAGAACCCTCGCGAGTGGGACACTCTCTTGAAAAATGACCAGCCAAGTTGCACCTGTAACAAGTTTTCTCTACCCTCTGCTCATCAAAAATTCTTGGCTTTCCTGATTGCAAATTCGATGTTTTAGCTAAATCAATAGCTCCAATGATTGATTCATGCAGTGTTTTGAAAGCCCTAGTCCTTACGAGCACCTGTAGCTGTCCACGCAATTCAGTCTCGAAACTTGCTTTTGCTAGCTGTCTAATGGCATTCTCCACCGTTCGTTTCTCAGCTAGTGTCTCCTTGGTTTTCGATAACTCGTCCACCAATTCCGCTGTAATACTCTCAGTCCTTAAACCATAGCAGCTTACAGATTCTCCTTCTCGTTGTCTCAAAGTGGATAACTCCATTTGTAACGAATCTATGGATTTTTTCGTACCATACAGAGCCTCCAACTCTGTCTCCAATTGCTCCATTGTTTGGATTTCCTTGTATTTCATGTCCCGCATAGCACGATCCGTTAATTCATTGGTTAAAATCAATTCCAATACATATGGATGATGTCGTTCTCGTACACGGGAAAATACCAACTTGCAATTTCGCAAAAACCCGTCCAGTTTTGTTGAGTCGTTACCGTCAAACTCCTTGATAATTTTTAAAGCAACGTCGATGTTGTAATCATCCTCACCAAAATTAGTACG